AATCCGGGGAGAGGCAGATGAGCTCCCTCTATCAGCTCCAGCTTCTCATGCGGGGACATAAGAGAAGCCTCCCACAAGGATGATAAAAACATTAAACTATCCGGTCGTCTCCTGGGCAACGTCCTTGCAGACAGCCAATTCTCTCACACCAGAAGCCACTTGCAGTTTCTCAAGTCGCTCCTGACACGACAAAAAAAATATTCCCAAAGCAACCCCATGCAGAATTTTAGTGCATGTATGAAAAGACTACTTGTTCACCTTGTTCTTACCCTGGCAAAAAAAACTAAGGTTTTGAGTCTTCCTCTGTACTAGCAGCATTCAAAGGGAGAGAGAAAGAGAGGAACATGCTAGCTTTGTTGTTGCTTTGCTGCTGTGTGCCTTCAAGGAGTTTTCATCTAATTGTGACTCTAAAGCTAACCTGTTACTAGGTTTTCTGGGGAGTGTGTGTCACCCAATGGATTTCTATGACCAAGTGGGGAATCAAACCCTGGTTTCTAGAGTCACAGCCTAATGCTTAAAGCATGCTGGTTCTACTGCAACATCTAAACTAATACCAGTGATCCACAGACTGGTGCCAATTTTCAGACCACTAACTTTCAATCCAGGGCTAGTTTTCATGAAAGAAAGAAACAAGTGCAGTCAATAGACAAAAATATAGCACTGGGATCTAGCACAATGTGTGTGTGGGTTGGGAGGGGGATTGCCACCCCTCCACATCAGAAAGCTTGAGATGGATTGTCTAAATAATTCATCAATGCACTAATCTACCTTCTAATTTTACACTAACATCCCTAAAAAGGGTTACTCCATAAGGTGTTGGATACAGTTATAAACTTTCCATATCTGACTTATTATAAAAAATCTATAAAGGGGAAATAAACTTTTCAGCTTGGCCACCTATCAGGTAATAAGAACCAAGTACTAAAATAATAAGTATCAAGTGCTAACATGCTAAGAGTTTGGTTGATACATGCAAATCCCCAGCCGCACTACTTTATGAGGGGAGCTAACTCTACATACCATGCATGTCCCAAGTGTATCAGCTAGCTGCTTATTTATACAAGAAACAAAACAAACCCAAACCCAGGTGTAGTTTTGTTCCTGACAAGAGGGAAGAAAAGCTTAATCAGGGCCCTTCCACACAGCCCTATATCCCAGAATATCAAGGCGGAAAATGCCACATTATCTAAGTGTGGACTCAGATAACCCAGTTCAAAGTAGATATTGTGGGATTTTCTGCCTTGATATTCTGGGATATAGGGCTGTGTAGAAGGGCCCCCACTTGCTACATTTCTACTCATTAAGAAACACTGTCAGCCGCAAGAAAGAAAATTCAATGCAATGTGGACCTTCTCCTTGGGAATTAACAGGAAAGACTAGCCTGACAGATCCAAACCTTCCAAGCAGGCAGCTGTTCAGATACTGGAGCCCAAGAAAGAAAAACACTGCTAAACTTACAAAGGGCAATCTCTGACATTTATATATTTTTAACCACAAAGAGCTTCCTCCACACCTCACTGAAAACCTTCCCTGGATGGATTATAAACATGGCAGGCATTTGAGAAACAGGAGTCCTAGCCAGGCTCTAGTAAGCTTTATTTGGGGTGGGAAGAGCTTTTTCTCAAAGCAGAGACAAGTGTTGGGAACTTTCCCAGATGAACGTCTGCCTGCCTGTGTGATGAGCAGAAATGAAAACATTGACAAACTGAGGAAAGGAAATCCTTTCTATCTGCTCTTAGAGAAATCTAATACTGAGAGAAGAAAGGTTCAAGAAAGCTTTTTCTGTCTTCTCCAAGGGCAACTTTCTGCTAATAAAGAGAGAAAAGGATGATGACTACCTGATGATTTCCTGTCTTCCATAAGGGAAAAAAACTCTCTGCTGTCTTTACTATAGGCAGAGGAAATGATGAAGAAATCTCTCTACCTGAGGAATTCCTGTCCGTTGTGAGAAAAAGAAGTCCTTTCTTTCTGCTCCCTGGAAAACCTGCTTATACAAAGAGGAGAGGATGAAGACAGCCCTTTTCTTGATGAATTTTTTCTCATGAGGAAAGGAAGCCAGAGAATTCTAATAGAGAAAGAGCAAGGGATCAAGAGACCTCCCTCTACATGAGGAATTCCTGTCTGTTATGAGGAAAGGAAGCCCTTTCTATCGGCTCTCAAGGAAACCTTGTGCTAATACAGAGAGAGGAAATGATGAAGAGATCTCTCTATCTGACACATTCCTGTCTCACACAAGGAAAGGAAGCCTTTTCTGTTTGCTCTCTGCTAACAGGGAGAGGAAGGGATGAAGAGACCTCTCTTTACCTGATGAATGTTTTGTCTGACATACCAAACAGAAACCCTGCCTATCAATACAGGAAAACTTTCAGCTAATATAGAAAGGATGAAGAGACCTCTCTACCTGGCAAATTCCTCTGTCATGAAGAAAGAAAGCTTTTTCTAGTTGCTCCCAGAGATAGGGAAGGATGAAGATAACTCTCTGACAAACTGCTGTCTGCTGTGAGGAAAGGAAGCCCTTTCCCACTACTTCCTGACCAGAGACTTCTTTACTTGCAGTATTTTGTCTGTCATGGAGAAAGGAAGCTTGTCCATCCACTTCCAGTGAAATCTTCAGCTAATACAGGGAGGAAAGGATGAAGAGGCCTCCCCTTACTTGATGAATTCCTGTATGCCAAGAGGAAAGGAAGTACTGTCTGTCTATTTCCAGGGCAACTTTCAGGTAATACAGAAAGGATGAAGAGACCTCTCTACCTGATGGGTTCCTGTCGGATGTGAGGAAAGGAACAGTATCTATCAGCTCAAAAGGAAACCTTCAGTTAAACACAGAGAGGAAAAGATTGAGAGATCTGTCTTTACCTGATGAATTTCTGGCTGTCATAGGGAAGGGAAGCCCTGTATCTCTGTTTCCAGGAAAACTTTCAGGTAATACAAAAAGGATTAAACCTCCTGTCTGTCAAGAGAAAGTGTGCTGTCTGTTTTGTTCCCTGGGAAAAATGGCCGAAAAACTTACAACAACCCAGTGATTCTGGCCATGAAAGCCTTTGACAATACAATGAACACCTGTCTGTTGTGAGGAAAGAAAGCCACCTCTCTCCAGAGTCCTCTTTGCATAAGGTATAGCTGTCTATCATGAGGAAAGGAAGTCCCGTTTGCTCCCAAGGAGCCCTTCTACTAATATAGAGAGGAGCAAGGATGAAGAGACTTCTCTCAATCTGAAAAATGTCAGTCTGTCATGAGGAAAGAAGGCCCTGTTTGCTCCCAAGGAGCCCTTCTGCTAATATAGAGAGGGGAAAGGATGAAGAGGCCTCTCAACCTGAGAAATGTCTGTCTATCATGAGGAAAGGAGGCCTTGTTTGCTCCCAAGGAGCTCTTCTGCAAATAGAGAGCAGCCAGGATGAAGAGACCTCTCTCAACCTGATAGTCCATCTGTCATGAGCAAAGGAGGTCCCATTTGCTCCCAGAAAAACCTCCTGATACAGAGAGAGAAAATGATATATTCCTATCTGTCATAGGGAAAGAAAGCCCCATTTGCTCCCAAGGAGCCCTTCTATTAATACAGAGGAGAAAGGATGAAGATGCCTCTCAACCTGGCAAATGTCTGTCTGTCTGTCATGGGGAAAGGAAGCCCCATTTGCTCTCAAGAAGCCCTTCTGCGGATATAGAAGGAGGAAATTGTGAAGAGGCTTCTCTCAACCTGGTAAATATGTGTATGTTGTAAAGAAAGAAAGCCAACTCTCTAAAGACACTTCTTTGCATGATGTATTCCTGTCTGTCATAGGGAAAGGAAGCCCCATTTGTTCCAAGGAGCCCTTTTGCTAATACAGAGAGGGGAAAGGATAAAGAGGCCTCTCAGCTTGGCAAATGTCTGTCTGTCATGGGGAAAGTAAGCCCCATTTGCTCCCAAGGAGGCCTTCTACTGATACAGAGAGGGGAAAGGATGATGAGGCCTCTCTCAAACTGATTAATATGTGTCTGTAGTGAGGAAAGAAAGCCAACTCTCTAAAGAGACTTCTTTGCATGATGTATTCCTGTCTGTCATAGGGAAAGGAAGCCCCATTTGCTCCCAAGAAGCCTTTTTGCTAATACAGAGGGAGGAAAGGATAAAGAGGCCTCTCTCAACCTGATGAATATGTGTCTGTTGTGAGCAAAGAAAGCCAACTCTCTAAAGAGATTTCTTTGCATGATGTATTCCTGCCTGTCATAGGGAAAGGAAGACCCATTTGCTCCCAAGGAGCCCTTCTACTGATGCAGAGAGCGGAAAGGATGAAGAGTCCTCTCAACCTGGCAAATGTCTGTCTGCCTGTCCATCATGGGGAAAGGAAGCCCCATTTGCTCCCAAAGAGCCCTTCTGCTAATACAGAGGGAGGAAATGGTGAAGAGGGTTCTCTCAACCTGGCAAATGTCTGTCTGTCATGGGGAAAGGAAGTCCCATGTGCTAATACAGAGGATAAAGATGCCTCTCAACGTGGCAAATGTCTGTCTGCCATGGGGAAAGGAAGCCCCATTTGCTCCCAAGGAGCCCTTCTGCTGATACAGAGAGGAGAAAGGGTGAAGAAGCCTCTCTCGACCTGGTGAATACATGTCTGTTGTGAGGAAAGAAAGCCAACTCTCTAAAGACACTTCTTTGCATGATGTATTCCTGTCTGTCATAGGGAAAGGAAGCCCCATTTGCTCCCAAGGAGCCCTTCTACTGATACAGAGGGAGGAAAAGATAAAGAGGCCTCTCAACCTGGCAAATGTCTGTCTGCCTGTCTATCATGGGGAAAGGAAGCCTCATTTGCTCCCAAGAAGCCCTTCTGCTGATACAAAGAGAGGAAAGGATGAAGAGGTCCCTCTACCTGAGGCATTCAGGAGGACAGTGAGCTTGTCTATCTACTTCCAGAGGAACCTCCTGAGAGGCCCCTCTCTCCTGGCTTTGAGGCGCTCCCATCCCGCCTCCTCCCGTCCATACAGAGGCAAGAAGCCTCTCCTCAGCTTGCCTGCCTCCTGAGGCGCCTCACCTTCGCAGAGGTACCCGGCCAGCCCCCAGATAAAGTCGGAGCAGTGGTGGCAGAAGGTGGGCTTGGTGAGGGTGACCCGCTTGAAGCCGTGCCCGGGCGCGCTCACACGAGACAACGCCGCCGACTGCTGCTGCTGCTTGGGGGAGGCGGGCGGCGTCTGGCTCCGCAGCGCGGGCGAGGAGGGCGACGGCGTGGGCAGCGAGCGGCTCTTGGGGCCCCTGCCCACCAAGGGGCTGGACGCCGGGCTGGAGCCTCGGCTGCTGCTGCTGCCTCCGAAGAAGGAGGAGCGGGCGCCGTCTGCCATGATGCTGCTGCTGCTCTTCCTCCTCTCTCTCCTTCAGTCGTTGAAGAGGGGCGCGCGAGCCGCTTGCGAGACTTCCGCCGCGGTGCCCGCGAGCCAGAAGACCGAGGAGGGAGGGAGCGAGCGAGGGAGGGAGTGGCCGCGCGGAGAGGGGGCGTGGCTCCGGAGGCCACGCCCCCCTTTTGGGAGCGGGCAGGAACGCCTCAGGCCGTTGGTTTCAGAAGGGAGCGGAAGGCGCGGCTCTGAGGGAAGCGTCGTTTGGGTCGGAAGTCCCTCACAGAGAACGCTCCCCCCTCCCTCCCTCCCTCCCTTCCTTGGGGTGCCTCTCTCACAGTGCTCCCCCTCACTCTCCTCTCTCAAGTGCGTTTTGGACTTCGCCTCCCAGAATCCCAAGCCCTTGGCCCACGCAGCTGAGGCTTCTGGGAGTTGGAGTCCGAAACACCTGGCATGTTGGGGCTCATTAGACCTCACTGTCAAGTGCTCGGCTGTCCTTTGGTGAGAAGGCTTGGGGAAAGGCCTGCATCAAGAGGAGTCTAGTGTCTAGATCCAGGGAAGTCATGCGACCCATTCTCTATTCTGCCTTGGTTAGACCACATCTGGAATACTGTGTCCAATTCTGGGCACCATAACTGAAGGGAGATGTTGACAAGCTGGAATGTGTCCAAGAGGAGGGCGACTAAAATGATCAAGGGTCTGGCGAACAAGCCCTAAGAGGAGCAGCTTAAAGTGCAGGTGCTTACCTACAAAGCCCTGAACGGTTTGGGACCATCCTACCTGCGTGACCGCATCTCCATCTACGAACCCACGCGTTCACTTCGGTCATCTGGAGAGGCCCTGCTCGTGATCCCGCCTGCGTTGCAGGCGCGTTTGGTGGGGACACGAGACAGGGCCTTTTCCGTGGTGGCCCCCCGACTCTGGAACACCCTCCCCAAAGATCTTAGACAGTCCCCTACACTGGCAGTCTTTAGAAAGAACTTGAAGACCTGGCTGTTCCGATGTGCCTTCCCAGAATAGGAAATCTCCAATACCAAGTCCCATAAGCACTTTATTAGAACTAAGATTGCTGCACACCGCACACTGCACTTGCCCTATAATCCTTATATACCACCTGTCACATCAGCACTTTTAATCCTGTACCCATTACTCTGGCCCGGCCCAGTTTTATTGTGTCTTAGTGTATTGTTTATTGCTTGTTGTTTATATTGCTTTAATTGTTTTTAATTTGCCTTAGGTTTTGTATTGTTATATTGTGTGTTGAGGCCTTGGCCTTTGTAAGCCGCATCGAGTCCTTCGGGAGATGCTAGCGGGGTACAAATAAAGTTTAATAATAATAATAATAATAATAATAGCCTGAAGAAGAGAAGGCTGAGAGGAGACATGATAGCCATGTATTGTCAGAGGCTTTCATGGCCGGAATCACTGGGTTGTTGTAGGTCTTTTTGGGCTATATGGCCACGTTCTAGAGGCATTATCTCCTGACGTTTCGCCTGCATCTATGACAAGCATCCTCAGAGGAAAAAGAGTTTATATATCTGTGGAATGACCTGGGTAGGACAAAGAACTCTTGTCTGCTGGAGCTAGGTGTGAATGTTTCAACTGATCACCTTGATTAGCATTTGATGGCCTGGCAGTGCCAGGGGCAATATTTTGTTGAGAGGTGATTAGATATTGGCAAGCTGGAATGTGTCCAAAGGAGGGCGACTCAAATGATCAAGGGTCTGGAGAACAAGCCCCATGAGGAGTGGCTTAAAGAGCTAGGCATGTTTAGCCTGAAGAAGAGAAAACTGAGAGGAGGCTTGATAGCCATGTATAAATATGTGAGAGGAAGTCATAGGGAGGAGGGAGCAAGCTTGTTTTCTGCAGCCCTGGAGTCTAGGACGTAGAACAATGGCTTCAAACTCAAGAAAGAATATTCCACCTGAACATTAGGAAGAAGTTCCTGTCTGTGAGAGCTGTTCAGCAGTGGAACTCTCTGGCCCCAGAGTGTGGTGGAGGCTCCTCCTTTGGAGGCTTTTAAGCAGAGGCTGGATGGCCATCTGTTGGGGGTGCTTTGAATGCAATTTTCCTGCTTCTTGGCAGGGGGTTGAACTGGATGGACCATGAGGTCTCTTCCAACTCTATTATTCTATAATAATATAATCTTTATAATAATAATAATCTTTATTTATACCCCGCCACCATCTCACCGATGGGGACTTGGAGCGGCTTACATGAGACCAAACCCAAATGACAATTACAATAAAGAAAAACCAAAACACAAACTGAAAACACGAACGATAAACAATAACATCATAGTTACATAAAAACATTAATACATAACAATATAAAAATTACAATATGCACAGGTGCAGTAATAATGGGCGGGCTACATGTAATGATTAAAAGACAAACTGATTAAAACTAATTAAAATCTTGGGCAAAGAGAGAAGCAGGTAATTTACGGAGGAGGGCTCATTTTAGCGGGAGTTGTGGAATCAAACTTTCCCATGTATACTCCAATGACAGAACTTTGAGGCAGAGCAATCATGTGGGATTATATACCTACTCATCACAGGCGCATCGGAAGAGTCAGGTGTCAAAGTGGCGTCAAGCCGCATCCATTCTTCAGTGTAGAGCAGGCCTCCTCAACCTGTGGACCCTCCAGGTGCTTTGGACTTAAACTTCCAGAGTTCCTGACCATTGAACAAGCTGGCTAGGGCATCTGGGAGTTGGAGGCCTAAACACCTGGAAGGCTGGGTTGCTGTGATTTTTCCAGGCTGTATGGCTATATTCCAGAAGCATTCTCTCCTGCTGTTTCGCTCACATCTATGGCAGGCATCCTCAGAGGTTGAGAGGTCTGTTGGAAATTAGGCAAGTGGGAACTAAGGGTCATCTCTCCTTGGAGTTGACCCCCCTAAAGTCTAGTTTGGCTTCAGTGGCAGGGTATAAATAAAGTTTATTATTATTATTATTATTATCATCATCATCGTCGTCGTCGTCATTATTGTTCGAAAGGGTTTCATCTTGCGCTGACAGATTGCACCTTGCCCAAGATCCCTCATTGAGTTTCAAATCCTGGCCTTGCAAAGTCATAGTCCAGCATGGGCATCCTCAAACTACGGTCCTCCAGCTGTTTGGGCCTCCATTTCCCAGAAGCCTCCACCAGCTTGTCCAGTGGTCATGAATTCTGGAAGTTAGAGGCATAAACAGCTGAAGGGCCGCAATTTGAGGATGTCTGGTCCACCACTTAAACCACTACACTTCTTACTTACCTGTGACATTCAGACACAATATGACCACAAATCTAGGCATTGTCACAGTGCAGACATGCAGCCCCAGCCAGTCTCAGCTCTGTACTGTTATAATTGGTTTTTATTTCTCCATCCCCTTGGGAACTCTTATAAGTTGCACAGCAATACGGAAATATTTTAAACAAACAAACTCCATTAAGTATTGTCGAAGGCTTTCATGGCCAAAATCACTGGGTTGCTGTGAGTTTTCCGGGCTGTATAACCATGTTCCCGGAGCATTCTCTCCTGATGTTTTGCCCACATCTATGGCAGGCATCCTCAGAGATTGTGAGGTCTGTTGGAAACTAACTTCATTCTGCATGTTCTCAATTTGTATTTGTCATATTCCCATTTAACTCTTTCAGGCATCCCATTTCAAAATAAACTTTTTGAATACATGCAAGGAACCCATTGTTCACAACATGCACAGCAAGCGCTGAACATCCTTGGTTACAAATGGCCTCTAGTCAGGTCTGTGCTTACCATTTAGTGGAGTGAGGCTTATTTCCTTTGGTTGTCACTGAAAGGAGCAAAAAGTCCTCTGGCACTTTTCAAGACTAATAAATGTCATTGGCATACATTTTCATGGATTGAACCCACTTCATCAGATGGTTACTGTTAATTTTTTATTGCCAGGCATTGGGAGAGATGTTTGCCTGGTTTCCTGACTTGTGCCAAAACAACTTGGCTGGAGTTAAGTTCTGTGAACTTGGATTTATGCACTTGGCGGTTGTGGTGAGGGGAGGGGGCTGTGAAGAGCTGAGACTTCCCATTTGATACTCTGCTTAAGGCAGTAAATGTATTGTGCCTTCCTTGCCCCTAACCTGTATTGATTCTATTTCATGCCATAAAGAGGTAACAGATTTTTTTGTGGGCATTTTAAATGCTGCGAAATAGAGGGGGAAATAGTGCACCCCGGTGGTGCAGTGGGTTAAAGCGATGAGCAGGTTCGATTCTGGGGAACAGCATGAGCTTCCACGGTCAGCCCCAGCTTCGGTCAACCTAGCAGTCCGAAAACATGCAAATGTGAGTAGATCAATAGGTACTGCTCCAGTGGGAAGGTAACGGTGTTCCATACAGTCATGCTGGCCACATGACCTTGGAGATGTTTACAGACAACGCTGGCTCTTCGGCTTAGAAATGGAAATGAGCACCACACCCCAGAGTCAGACACGGCTGGACTTAATGTCAGGGGAAAACCTTTACCTTTACCTTTTCCCTCCCACATAATCTTTTCTATTATAAAGGTATTGCTGATAAATTGTAGAAGTGATCTTAAAGCCTTAATCTCAATTCATTTCTAACTTACTGACCTTTTCTGAACAATGTGAGATAATATTTCAATGAGGAGTTATTTAAGTTCATCACTTTTCCAAACTGGGATGGTTACTATTTGAATGGTTTCTTTTCTGCAGTCTGTTCTTTCCCTCCGCAGTAACCATGGGAGTATTCACATAACTTACACTCAGCTGTCCAAATTATACTTCCCAGGTTTTATAAGGCATATAAATCACACACTGTTAGTAATGAATACATTTGTATTCCCAAAGTAAACATGGTTTGAACGCAAACATTGCAGAACTGATCAGAAATTTCTCCTTTGTTTTAGTAAATCAAGTTGTAGTGTTGACAGTTTGTGGTGTGGGTTGGCATGTTACCTTTGTCATATTTTATTTATTCTATCCCCACCTGACTTGAGTAGCTATGGTGACGAAACTTAAGTGACCAGGCGTTGCTATTATACAAGCAAAGCCTAAGGCACACTTGACATTCTTATTGCTGTGCAGAGCTTGAAATCTGAAGGAACAATTCTGCCTGTCAAGTCTGTGACCTAAAATACCTGAAACA